CGTTTGCTGGATATTACGATTACGAAATATGGCAAATGGATGTCAAAACCGCCTTCCTTAATGGGATTTTGGAAGAAACTGTGTATATAACACAACCGGAGGGTTTTGTCGATCCAGACAACGCTGGAAAGGTTTGCAAGCTGAAGAAGTCCATTTATGGACTAAAGCAAGCCAGCAGGAGTTGGAATCTGCGATTTGATGAAGCCATCAGCAAGTTTGGTTTTATCAAGAATCCAGATGAGTATTGTGTATACAAGAAGGTCAGTGGGAGTGATATTGCATTCCTAGTCCTGTATGTAGATGACATACTGCTCATTGGAAACAGCACAAAATTGTTGGAGTCCGTAAAGGGCTGGTTGGGAAAGTGCTTTTCAATGAAGGACTTAGGAGAGGCACAGTACATATTGGGCATCAAGATCTACAGGGATAGATCTAAGAGGATGATTGGATTAAGCCAGAGTACTTACATTGATAAGATACTGGCTCGATTCAACATGGAAAATTCCAAAAGAGGGAATTTACCCATGTCCCATGGCATAACTCTCAGCAAGAAACAGTTTCCACAGACACCTGTTGAGCGAGAAAGAATGAATCAGATCCCGTATGCATCGCTAATCGGATCAATCATGTATGCCATGATATGTACAAGGCCGGATGTATCGTATGCCCTAAGTGCAACGAGTCGATACCAATTGAATCCAGGAGAGGCGCATTGGACTGCGGCAAAAAACATCCTTAAGTACCTAAAAAGGAACAAGGATAAATTCCTGGTATATGGAGGCCACAAAGAACTGGTTGTTGAAGGTTACACCGATGCTAGCTTCCAGACTGACAAAGACGACTTCAAGTCACAGTCGGGATATGTATTCTGTCTGAATGGAGGAGCGTTCAGCTGGAAGAGTGCTAAGTAGAGCACCACTGCAGACTCTACAACTGAAGACGAGTACTTGGCCGCTTCGGAAGCTGCCAAGGAAGCTATTTGGATTCGCAAAATCATCAGTGAACTTGGTGTTGTACCCTCAATCAAGGGACCGATAGACCTTTATTGTGATAATAATGGAGCTATCGCTCAGAGAGCCGAGAGAACACCAGAAGGTCAAACACGTGCAATGATGATTTCACATGATAAGGGAATGGAAATCCGAAGGTGAAATCAGAATTTGTAAGATCGGCACGGATGATAATGTGGCCGATCCTTTGACTAAACCTCTGCCTCAAGTGAAACACAACAAACACGTTGAGGCAATGGGAATCAAGCATGTTGGAGACTGGATTTGATATTCCCTGTACAAGTGTTTTAATTAAACAGGGTTGATTTAATGTAAGACACTGTACTAAAACCATTCATTAATGGAGTAATTAATTTTTGTGCAAAATTATCATTCACTCCATTACTATTTAATTGTGGTTTAGAATTAAATAATGAGTCCATTCGATTTACGGAAATATTCAAAACAGGGTATCAAGACCATGTCTTGGATAAAGAAACACCTATTAAGTGAACATTGAATATTAAATCGAAAAGTATCCCTAATCGAGGTCGTCTAACAGATGGACGATTGATGACCGCAATAGATTAGTGTGTAGTATGATTTATAGCACCGTTTCTTGTGTTGCGAGGACGTGACAGTCATAAATCATTTGCACAGGTACAGTTTAGAACTGTACTAGATAAGACCTATGAGAGTACTTTAAGAAAACTAAATTTTGTCATAAGTACATTTCTCATTATGGCTATCGGAACTTATTTCCTCAGACCATGAGTACTGTGAAGTTTTCTTGTTTGAGTACTAGGCTCTTTGATGTTTCCTAACGTCTGCCGTAACTGGGGATCATAACGGGAACACTCGGGAGTCTATGTCCTCTTAGTAAGAAGAACTTAAAATACAAGACTGGGATTGTCCCCCTACTAACAATAGGGAAAATGTTTTGTTGTTTAAAAGGCCGCTCGAAGAGTGAGACTGTAAAATGCATGGCCATGCTCAGATGGATTTTAAGAATCATCTGTTTATTTGACAGTCAAATCGAGAAACACTTCTGAACGTAATAAGGATGACAAAGAATCTTACCTTACAGTTCACGAAGAGACATTAAGTGACAAAGGAAATGAGCTATACACAATATGCACACTTGTCCGGAAGGACAAGTGAGAGATTAAAAGGAATGGTGTCCTTCCAACAAGTGTATTATTCTGGTAGAGAGTTCATAATTATTACAGAGGTAATTCTTCAGTAAGGTCAAGTGATCGGAATGCCTAGGTGGAGGCCGCTTCCGATCAGTGATATCAAGGTGCAATTGATATTACAGCTTAATCTTAACTGAACCCTTCAGGTCGAACCCAATCGAATCTCCGATCCGAGACGTCGAATAAATCCAAAAGGATTTAATCGGTGGACAGAGTTTTACGAATACAGACGTCGGAAATCGAGCCTAGGGCGTCGATACCGAGCGTCGCAAAATCACAAGCAACAAGTATGAGCATAGCCGTAGCTAGGCTAGGCTAGCTCATCGTAAGCACTAGGTGCTGCGTATGTGCGTGCCTGGCCTGGCAGCACCATCGCAAGCACCAAGTGCTGGCATGGCTGGCTGCCTGGCAATGGCGCGCCATGTGCGTGTGCTTGAGTGCTAGCCTTTGCATGACAACACTAAGCATCGCAGCATATGCGAGAGGCTGGGCGCCAGCAAGATGCCAGGCCTCGCACAAGCAGCCTCGCACCACAGGCGCATGGCTGGTGCATGGCGCATGGCTGATGCGAGGGATGTGCGACCATCCAATGCGTGGGATGCGAGGGCCAGCATCAGCGATGCCCAGCAGGCACAAGCTGGGCGATGCATGGCTGCGCATGCGATGGCAAGGCAGCACCACGCATATGTGTGTGCGTATGCCTGCGATAGCAAGGCACCAACGCCAGCAATACCCAGCAAGTGCTAGCTGGGCGATGCATGCTTTGCGTGCGATTGTGGCGCTGGGCAAATTGGTGCGTGATGCTTGGTGCGCCAGCCAAGCAAGCTAGCTGGCTGTGCATGCTGGCAGCGCCAGGTGGCAGCCAGCCTAGCTGCCTTGTAAGTGGCGGTTTGAAGGGAAGTGGGGACCAAAGCCACCAAGCTTCCCTTGGGGAGCAAGGCAATGTTCCCCCCATGGGATATGGTCCTCACCTAACCCATTCTCTCCTTTTGCCACTTGTTGGCTTGTGATTGTTTTGCATAATTATTTATTTTAGAATTAAATAAATTATTGCAATTGCACATGATCCCACATTGATCACGAAAAGGGGTTTCAAGTCCCCATTCTCTATAAATACCCACTTGGTTGGGATTTTGAGAATACAACCTTGAGTGGAATTAAAAAGGAAACTCTAGAAAAGAGTAAACCTTTGATTCGTAAAACTCATAGTTATTTTGTCCGGGTCTTGACTAACCTTCAAGACTTAGGAAGCTCGGGTCGGGTCGAGGGTACGATCCGTCGGAGATCTTGTCTTTTCGGGATTTTGAAGTAAGAGCTCTTTAGGAGCGAAGCACGCGTCAAAGGTATAATTCTTGTCCTTAATCTTGTTTGATTAAGTTAATTATGCTTGTTTAATTTCTTTAATTAAGGGGCGGGTCTTGGTGGGTTTCCTTTCGCGTAGTGTCTGGTCACTACGAAACCCTACAATAAGGGAGAGAGAAAAGAATGTTTTTCTTATAAAAGAGCCCCGTATATTAACAAGTTTTGTTACCATCGGTCCATGGGGGAGTATTAAAAAATAATGTTATAAATGTTGTCCCATGCTATTTTTAGAAATGTGTCAAGTTTTTTAGGACGGATGAAAATCGAGATCGTGCCAAGTATATTAGGACGAAAGGAGTAATATAGGATATTATCTTCAATTTAGTAAATAAGAAGGACATTACATGATAATACAATTCATATGATATATTATTCATTGTGAAAGGCACGAAAAAAACAATATCATAAAGTAAATAAAATATTTCATAAAATTAAAGTATAATAGGTAAAAGTAAATAAACTGAACTTTATTTCTGCAGTACAATTACTTAGCGTAAATGTAAAAATATTACAAAAAAAAAGCACATTAATATTTCTTCAGTATATCTTGATCTTCCAAAACATCTTTAAATTTCCAAGTATTATAATAATTGCACAAAAATAAACATCAGAAAATCAATGACAGATTAAAATAAATAAATTGCAATGTAAAGTAAATAAATTTCAACTTAAAGTAAATGAGATAAGTACAAAGGTAAATTACCTAAAAAAAAGTACAAGTATAATAACACCTGCACAAAAATAAAAAGTAAATCAAGTTAAATGTTAGAGTAAATAAATAACAGATTAAAGTAAATGGAACACATGTAAACGTAAAATACCTGAAGAACTACTTGTTTGGACAGTTTCTACTGTCATGTGAAACACCAGATTGCCCACAAGCTCTACAAATCCTGCCCTTTTTGGATTTTTCTTTAGAAGCTATTTCTTTTGCACTCTTCAACCGCTTTGAACTTCTGGCAAAACCTTTATTAAGACATTGATTTGGAGGCAAGATGTTTACATCTACTTCATTTGACCCAACCAAAATATTAATATTTCTTTAGTATGTATTGATATTCCAAAACATCTTTAAATTTCCAAGTATTATAATAACTGCATAAAAATAAACATTAGAAGATCAATGATAGATTAAAGTAAACAAATTACAATGTAAAGTAAATAAATTTCAACTTAAAGTAAATAAGAAAATTACAAAGGTAAAATACCTAAAAAAAGTACATGTATAATAACACCTGCACAAAAATGAAAGTAAATCAATTTAAATGTTAAACTAAATAAATAACAGATGAAAGTAAATGAAACACATGTTAAAGTAAAATACCTGAAGAACTACTTGTTTGGAAAGTTTCTACTGTACATGTGAAACACCAGATTGCCCACAAGCTCTAAAGGTTCTGCCCTTTATGGATCTTTCTTCAGAAGCTATTTCTTTTGCACTCTTCAACCGCTTTTAACTTCTGGCAGAACCTTTATTAAGACACTGATTTGGAGGCAAGATGTTTACATCTACTTCGTTTGACCCAACCAAAACCTGAATATCAGCATCTTTCACCTCTTTTGAACTAGTTGCATTTTTAGGATTATTCTTTGTTAGCATCTGCTCCTCAAATTAAGATAATGTCCTAATAAGCTCACATAAACTATCCTCAGATTTCTTATATAAACTCACACAACTGAAAATCTTGGACCACACATCACTAACCAATTGCTTCTTCTTATCATACATGGAAGCATAATCCAAAACAGCATTTATTGCAGAAGCTTTTTCAGAATGTCTTTTCTCCAACGATTCATGTTATAAAGATCAGGAATTTCATGTATAGACTTGTCTTTCATAATAAACAGAATGTGTCTACATAAGATTCCTTGACTCTCAAACATTTTACAACTACAACTGCACTCATATGTGGCCAAGTCAAAATTTACATCAAAGTTTTTCCTTTTCTCATGATTAACAATTATAGAGAACTCCACACCATCTCCATGTAGAGAACTACAACTTTCAACACCACATGAGAAATAGGCTGCCTGGCATTCTTCTTGAAAATCATAAAAGATGGCACGACTGTAAACAACAGAAGCGTGCTTTTCCAAGTGTTAATGGGTAACCAATTGAGGCTCAGATTTATTAAGCCTGTTCAACTCATCCTGTTCATGCCTTTGAGCATCATGAGCAGTTTGATAATACGGACAAAGAATTCAACACAGGTCACATGGGGGTTTATAAAATTACAAAAGAAACTGTTTTCACCTTCAGACCTAGAAGTAGAACGCAGTAACTCACCCATAAACAAGTTCCTGAAATATGCAGGGATCCAAAGATGCCTAATCTTGAACATGTATGCAAACCACTCATGATCTACAAGGTCAAATTCCTCCATAACACTGTTCCAACCATCAACAAATACATTGGGATCAATTTCTCTATCCCAAACTACTGCACTTAGCTTTTTCAAGAACTCCATTTCATTACAAAAATGAGTTCCAACCTTTTCAGGTACCTTCCTCATTATGTGCCACATACATAACCTGTGTTTAGTCTTGGTAAAAACCATTTGTATGGCAATACCCATTGCAGGATCTTGATCAGTGATTATGAAAGAGGGTTCTCTTCCCATACACTTCAAAAACAGTTTGAAATAGCCACACAAAAGATTCTACATCTTCTTTAGATAATAAAGCATCACAAATGTAACACATCTCTTATGATTATCAACTCCAGTAAAAGGGCAGAAAACCAATTAATGAGTATTTATTTGTATCATAGGTAGAATCAAAAGATAAAGAGTCCCCAAACAATTGATAATCTCTTCTACCAATAGCATCAGCCTAAAAAACACGTGTCAAGTGCTTGCTTTCATCAACACAGTAATCAAAATAATAACCCCCTTTTACTGCTTTTAACTTTTTGTTCAAGGTTTTGAACAAACATTGCACCTTCAGCATTAGATATATAAACTTTCAAGTCCCTGGAAAATTTTTTGAAGTCATTTTTACTGCCCCTGACATTTTTAAACCCATTACAAAGTTCTTTCATGATCCTATAAGATATAATAGCCCCTATATTTAACTTTGAGTTGTCAAAAATAAACTTCTTATGAGCAAAATTTAAACCAACTTCAAATTTAGTAACCTGCCTAGTAATAGGTGTAGAAAAAGGGTGAGAATGAGACTCATAAAAAGAGTAAACCATATACTTCCCACCATTACATAATCTAAATTTAATATTAGCAGGACATCCAACTCTCTTCACAGTCTTTTTCCTTAAACATGCACCTTCATTTTGTTTACCAACTTTCTTGTTTTTTGTCACATACCCTTCATTGCTACATAATGAATATTCAATTACAGTAACTCCTTTACCATTACTAGAACCAACCTTATTCTTATCTACTTTAGTAGTACTAGAACGGTCTTTAAATCCACACTCAATAGCATATTTGTAATAAAAGGAAATACCATCTCCAAGACTATCAAATTTCATTCCAAGAATTGGTTTGTTTTCCAAAGAACAACCTGAGATATACTTTTTATTATCTCTAAAATTATAATATATCTTAGGAAGCACAGGCTGAGTGGGTGTTTTGAAAATTCTTACATTCTTATCTTCATCAGTGACAGCAGCAGAAAAATGCTCTACACTTTCAGTCATCTTCATGAAATGTAAATGAATCAAAGAAAAAAGTAAATAAGCAATAACAAAAAGTAAACCAAAAAAAAAAAATTATACTAATAAAAATTATCAATAGATCTCTCAAATCCAAAAACAATCACTATCCACTACAATAAAATCTAAACTAAAATGATAAAAAAAAATGAACGGAAACTAGAAAAAAAAACCTTCTTCACTTGATTATTCTTCTTTCCAAATTTCATCAACATTGTTCTTCAATTAAAATCGTAAACCCAAATCGTAATATAAGACTCATAAAAACACAAAATCATACAATTAGACTCAAAATTAAAAAAAAGAAAACCCAAATCGTAATATAAAACCCTAAAACGTAGTAAGTGATTAGGGGATTTTGCTCCCACCAATCGGAATGCGCCACGTGGACCAATCAGGACCTGCCAAGTGTCCCCTAGTTGGAACTGTCAGGGCTTGCCACGTGGCACGCGCTTATTCGTCCACCTTGGACCTGTTATGTCACGACATGTGGCATACTCCATGCCTAATGGAGAAACCAGCCACCCAGGCCCAACTTCCGAGGGAAGCCCAATCAGCCCTAGGTTTACCTAAACCTAGGATGGGCACGTTTCCCAAGGTTATAAATACCTCCCTTAATCCTCATTAAGGGGGATTACAAAAAGAGAACATAAACATTACGGAAAAAACACATTAATTACACACAGTAATAACCGGCCGATCTCGCTAACAAAGCAAATTACCTACGTTAATCACTCTCACCTAGAGAGACCTAATCACTTTAATTTCCGTATTAATTACTCCTTAATCAGGTACTAACTTGACCGTTGGAGGCGGAGCTCACAGGAGTCTCCGTTATTTTGCAGGTACAGGCGTCCGGTTCCAGTCTCGGAATTGTAACTCTCCCGCAGGACATCAGAAAACCCCGAAACATTTGGCGCCGTCTGTGGGGAGAGTACTTCTGAGATGGCATCCAAGTCTGTACCGACTCCTGAAGAGAGGCGTCCCCTAGACGACCCTCAAGTTCAGTCGGACCATGATACCGAAAGTGAATTTGAAGTTGAAGCTCATACAGCTTCAGACGGGACCCTAAGGGCCCGACGTACCCGTCATACCGAATGGAGGGAACGAGAGCATCTTCAAACAGGAAGCGAGCCAGCAGGCGCACCGCCTGTTCGGCAACAGCCGACTGATGGGTCTGCTCCCATCACAAGGAACGAACTCATGACCTTCATGAGGGACTTCAAGGGAGAGATTCAAGAGTTGATCAACAAGAAGCCGCCTGCTTCAGTCAAGGAGCAGTCGGCCAAGAAACCCTCCACTTCACTGAAGAGGAAGCCAGTTCAAGGGCGAGAGGCGACTCCTCATCCTAAATCTAGGAAGCGGGAGCCACCTGCCCTTGATTTCACAAAATTCCGTTATCCTACAGGAAATAGGAAACATGTTCGTCATATTCAGGCGGACGGGTCGAAGCAAACATTCACAGATGCTCGGCTACTACTAGAGCAGAAGAAGAGTGACCGATTGTCAGAGTCGGCCTCTACTTCAAACTTTCAAGACAGTTTGCGAAATGCCTCGATGAGGCATACTCAGTCGTACCATGAGAGTCAGTCAGGCGGCACATCCCGTCAGTCCGGCTTTCATAGTGACCAGGCGGTACCAAACTTACCATTTGTGCCGCAACAACAGCATTTTTTGCAGCCACCTCCATTTGGTGGACTTGCAGCAAAAAACGTCTAACCTATGGACTGGCAGCTACGGTTGCTTAGACTTGGTGAACAGCCGTCGGCCTTCTCCAAGGAAATTACTGAAGCCGCTCAGCCGGCCAAAGTGAAAAATGTACTAGTAGGCGCCTATGACGGCACTACTAACCCAGAAGACCATCTGATGGCATTCACCAACCTGATGTACCTTCAAGGGTTGGATGATCCCACTTGGTGCAAGTGTTTCCCAGCGACTCTCAAAGGAATCGCACAGCAATGGTTCGGCAACCTGCCGACTGGTTGTGTAAATAGCTTCAGGACGCTTGCTTACTTATTTACCTCCAACTTCGCCATGAACATCCCTGCGAAGAAAACGACCCTTGATTTGGGAACAATTCAGCAGGGCGAGAAGGAGGGGCTTCGTTCTTACATCGGGCGGTTTAACCTGATGAGAATACAGATTCAAGGGTTACCGGATGAGGTAGCTTATACTGAATTTTTCAGAGGTCTCAAAGACGGGTCTACCTTCAAATTTGATTTGGTTCGAAAAAGGGTGGCGACTCTTCAAGAGGCCTTGATTGAAGCAGAAGCCTATATACAGGCAACTGATCTTTGTACGATAAAACAGTCGGACGGGAAAAGGTTCGACAAAAGAGAAGGACGACAGAAACAGTCGTCAAACAAAGATGAGAAAAGAAAAGAGGTCTGGGCGGCTGATTCCTCTAAACAGCCGGCCCAGGAAAAGAAAAAAGAATTCAAACCATACTCCCCAAAGTATGCGTTTAACAAGGATAACCAGTTTATCCTAAAAGAAATCAAGGGACGGATCTCAATTGAGAAGCCGGTCCCCATGAAGGGTTCTACAAACAACCGGAACCAAGATAAATTCTGTGCTTATCATGATGATGTTGGTCATCACACCAATGACTGCATCAGTCTCATGCGGTATCTAGACCGCCTGGCTGAGCAAGGTGATATTGACACTTATGTCAAGAAATCTACGGGGAACACTTCTTCAAAAAAGCAGTCGGCCAAAAAGCATCAGCAGGCCGACAGCTCTGATACAGATGATGCAATCGTCTACACCATTGCAGGCGGCTTCTCAGGAGGCGGCCCCACTATTAGGGGCAACAAAGACAATATCAGGCGGTTAGATATAAATTCCGTTCACCAAGAACAGTCGTCCAAATATTCATTTCCTGAGATTGTCATCACTGAAGAAGATCTAGGAGGGGTAAGGGGGCCGCATGACGACCCTCTCGTTATTGAATGTAAAGTGGCCAACCAGAGAGTTGGCCGAATCCTCATAGATACCGGAAGCTCCTCAGATCTCATCAGTAGCAAATGTCTGTCGAAACTAAAATATCAGACTGATTGCATACATCCGGCCTCCCACCCTTTAGTAGGGTTTGGAGGAGGAGTCGTCCACCCACTGGGACGAGTAGATTTACCCATCCGCTTGGGCGAAAAAGGGGAAGGACGACACATGGTAGTCCGGTTCCTGGTAGTAGAGGAACTCTCGGCCTACAACATGATTCTGGGTCGACCTACCCTGAATAATTCCAAGGCTGTTATAATCCCATCTCTTATGTTGCTCAAGTTTGAGAGGGATAATGGAACAGTCAGCTCCCTAAGGGGAGATCAGAGGATGGCTCGAGAGTGCTATCTCTCGGATGTCAAGCCCACTGTTATGGCCACTGGGTCAAGTGGTGAAAAAACAGACCTTGACAATGTCAAGGAGAGTGCGCCTGTTCAAGAAGCAGGCGGCAAAAAGAGAAAGGCATCCCAGACAGGGGCCGCAAGAAAAGCAATAAAATAGCAATCATTGGCAGAGGAGCGGCCGGATGAGTTCCGCCCTCAGCCGGCTGGTGAGCATGCGGACTTGATCTTAGACGACTCACGTCCTGACCGAACAGTCAAAGTTGGGACGACTGCTCTGAGAAACCTTGGTGACAACTTTCACAACCTATTGAAAGAATACAAGGACATCTTTGCATTCGAAGTCCATGAAATGCCAGGCATTAGTCCTGATCTGGCGGTACATAAACTGGCCGTGGATCCGAAAAAGAAGCTGGTACGGCAAAAGAAGCGGAACCATGGCGAAGAAAGAAGTTAGGCGGCAGCCGCCGAAGTTAAAAAATTACTTGATGCAGGGTTCATTCGGCAATGTTACTTCCCAGACTGGGTTGCAAATGTGGTTCTTGTTAAAAAGCCGAATGGCACCTGGCGAATGTGTGTAGACTACACAGACTTAAACAAGGCGTGCCCCAAAGACAGTTACCCTCTGCCTAAAATTGATAACCTGGTCGACTCAACAGCCGGCCATGCCTTGATGAGTTTTATGGACGCCTATTCTGGTTTCCATCAAATTCCTGTATGGAAGAAAGATCAGGAGAAGACAGCCTTCGTCACTGATCAGGGGTTATACTGTTACACGGTCATGCCGTTTGGTCTTAAGAATGCCCCGGCTACCTTCCAATGAATGATAAACACTGTGTTCTTTGATCAGATTGGGAGAAACGTCGAGGCATACATTGATGATATGATTGTCAAGAATAAACTACAGAAAGATCATCTGTCGGAGCTCCGAGAAACTTTCGCCACACTCAGGCGGCACCATGTCATGCTCAATCCCAAGAAATGTGTATTTGGAGTTGAGTCTGGGAAATTTCTCGGATTCCTTATCAATCAGAGAGGAATAGAGGCGAACCCTGAGAAGGTGCAGGCGGTCATTGACATGCAGTCGCCTCGTACCATCCGAGAGGTTCAGAAGTTAACAGGTTGTCTGGCGGCCTTGGGAAGATTTCTAAGCCGATCACGCAACAAATGCCTATACTTTTTCTAGGCAATTAAGAAAAAGGCAAGGTTCGAATGGGGGCCGGATGCTGAGTCCGCCTTCCAGAAATTAAAAGTTCACTTGCATTCCTTGCCGAGGCTGGTCAGCCCTTTGCCCAAAGAAACACTCTACATGTACCTGGCCGTCTCTGATCATGCGTTAAGCGCTGTTCTCCTTGCTGAAAGAGACGGCTGTCAGCTCCCGGTCTACTTTGTTAGTCACGTACTGAAAAATGCCGAGTTGAGGTATCCATTAGTGGAGAAATTTGGTCTTGCACTCTTCATGGCTGTTAAAAAATTGAAGCCCTACTTTTTGGCACATGCAGTCGTCGTGTATATAGACCAACCTATCAAACTCCACTTACCATCATGGAGTCGTCAGGCCGAATGATCAAATGGGCCATAGAAATACAGAGCCTCGAAGTTACATTCGAGCCAAGAAAAGCAGTGAAGGGGCAAGCCTTTGCT